CCTCTTGAATTTATATATATTTTACTATATTGCTTTATTTTGCCTTCTCCAGATGAATTTTGAAATTTTCTGTTCGACTATTTTATTTCTTCAGTTATTCCATTTGCCTTAGCTACTCTATGATTAAGAGCAAGTTTCTCTTCTAACATTGACTTTGACCTTTTTTTCTGTATTGTTAATGAACTTTTGCATTCTCTGTGCATATTTTTTATGTCATCCCATTACTCATTGGTTCTTTGTAATTACTGTAAAATGAATCAAATTTGTTCTTGAAATCTTCTAGAAATTCAGGTAGCATACACTCAAGATCATATTTTGAACTTTAATGTGTATTCCATATGGGCAAGTCCACATATTTCATCACCATTTTGTGTTGTTGAAAAGTGGTATTTGTGATGAAGATGTTCTTGACCTTGGAAAATTCTATCATGTGATCAGCAGTTTTTGTCAATCACCAAGGTCATATTTTCCACTATTATTTTTATTTTTTCTAACTTTTGCATTTCAATTGCCAGTAAGTACCAGTGAATCTTAACTGACTGCTTGATCAATTTCAATGTCCTGCTACTGTTCATGAGATTCCCCATGTCTGAATGTGCTCCACTGTCATTCATCATATATTTTGATGGCTCATTCCTTAGGCGTGGACAGTCTGTTCTATCCTTGTAGTACATTCTTATTCTAGAAGCTCCGCGGAAATCAATAATTCACTTTGGTGACCCTGCTGGTATTTGAAATACTAGTGACATGATTTCTAGCATTACTGCAACAGCAGGCCACACATCATCCAAATTTTACAAAGACAGTTGGTAATTCTAGAATTATCCTAAATCATTGCTACTTTTCAAGACACATTTTCCAATTTTTGAAAAAACAGAACATCCCACTGTTTCTAGGATTCTGTTATCACCCTTGCAATTCCCCAAGAACTCTAAAAAAAAAAAATCACTGTGACTTTGGGATTTCTATTCCAACATCTTTGGAAGACGCAGATTACCTTGTCGTGGTTCCATTCTTATACCACAGGGAATAAAGTAAATAATAGGCACCAAAACCAAAGTTTCATAAATGGCTCCCATTTTCTCCATTAATTTTAAAATATCAAAATAACTATCTCCAGCCAAAAATTCCTTATTAATCTATAGATCACTGGCATATACTTGAATTTGCCATACAGACTATGTGTTTGACATAATGCTCTTAATCATATATTCAAAATTAACATGTTGAGGAGTTAGCACATTTATAATAGAAATACTACACTTAGACCATCTAAAATATACATTAGCAAATAAACATTGACATAGATCTAAATTTCAATTTAACCTTATGAAAATACATATGTAGTGAGTGCTATTTATGTTTTTAAAAATTTTGATGAAAATACTCAGTGAACATTCTTAGAAACAATATTTATCCTATATAAAACCTGGGGATAATGTAATTTAATCATTCAAAACCAATTCTAGCTAAAAAAAAAGCCACATACTGGCCATCTTTTCCCATGTTCCCCTAACATGTAGCAATGAATTTTTTCTCCCAAGTTCTTCTTCTGGTTATTCTTCAGGCCCTTTAAGAATAGCTTTATTTTTGAATCTGGTTTTATGAGCACATTTTTTCCAGGTTTGAGCTATAGATTTCATATTGAAGAATTTGGTAAAATAAAATCTGTACCAAACCTAGAGCTTAAAATGTAAACATATATTCAAAGCAGCAAGCCTTTCAGAGGATTTTACACTGTGCACTGAGAAGGTTTTTAAAGCTTGAACTTCATGTCGAAGGGGCAAACTGTTCCCTTTGAGGAGCTGCTCGCAGTCTGAACAATGTCTCTTCAGAAATGCAGGGGAAGGCAGGGGCAATGGAGAAAGTCAAGTTGGGCAAGCGGGCGAGAGAGGTGTCAGAAGTGTTAAGATTATTAAAGGAAAGAGGGTTGACAAGCCTGAAGAGACACAAGGTAGCTTTACCAGGAGGTCAATGGGTTAAATTTTATTGAGTGTTTCAAGTAGAGGGGATGGAGGCAGAAGATAAGAAAAATCAGATTTAAATTGAGATGGATTATTTGGAAGGAAAAGAAATAACAAAAAAGAGAGACAGAGAAAATGCCGTTCTCTTCAGAAGAAATTGTATACTAAGAAAGAGAATGCAGTATGTGGAAAAGGCCCGCCCTAAGGTTCTCCCTCCCACTGCTATCAAGTTGATGTGGATTCATAGCGAGCCTACAGATCAGGGGAGAACTACCGCGCGAGTGGCCGAGACTGTAATGCTCTACAGGAGCAGAAAGCCCCGTGCTTTAGAAGCCAACAATAGGTAGAGTGGGATATTTTTCTTTCCAATTGATGTTTCTCATTGCTCAATATGCCTTCAAAAACTGAGAAGGAGTATTATAATTGCCCTTCCTTATTTATAATTAGGTCTTACTCATCCCCAGCATGTTTCTTGGGATTCTGATGTCAACCTACCCACACACATCTAGCCATTACAGGTGGACAAATGCTAAACGTTCTTTATTGACCATTGACTGTTAGTGTGTCTCCCAGATACCTGCAAGTATAGAAACAAAGCTTCAAGGTTGAGAATATGAGAATCCAGGTGTCTCTAATTTTCTATTCATTCACATTTGGAGAAAGTAAAATAAAACAAAACTAAAAATTCTAAGACATCATAATTGTGCTTTGTTATCATTCGAAGTACCTAGTTTTTGAAATTTTCTTTCTTAGCAGGGAATTATTATACTTTATGAATTATCCAGTTGTTAACATTTATTTCTAAGAATATAATCTGCATACAAAAGTGTGCAAATAACTTAATCAGATGAGGATACACAGAATGGGTATTCTTGCTTTCAAGTGTGCTCTAGTAGTTAGGCTACATGAATTTAAACCTTCCTCCTGCCTCTTCTGCCTATAAGACCTGGTCAAGTCCTTTAACTTCTCTCAGCCTATTTGGTCCTCTATTAGCTCATCAATGAGATAGGGATGTTATGAGTTGGCATGACTGGATGGCAGTGAGTTTGTTTTTGGTTTTTGTTAGCGATAAAGCCAACACTTCCTTAACAGGTTATTATAAGAAATATGCATTGATATAGATAAATTTCTTGGCATAATGCCTAATAGCTAATAATATTCAAAAACATTGCTTAAATCATAATATTATTCTCCAGAAGTCTGGTTAAGGGATTCACTATCCAAATCAATCTTCCTCAAAGACCACAGATTTTTTTAAGGGAAACATTTTGCATGGAAAATGTAGTGATACTTTGGGATTTTTAAGCCCAGATTAGTCCAGTCCAGATGTCCAGATTAGCCCTTCCTTCCACAAGATGTGAACCAGCAAGAACAAACAAGCTCATCAGTTGAAGGGCAGCAGATGGAAGGGCTTACACCAGCAACTCCCTCTTCCCAACACATTGGCAGTAAAGCCATCCCAAATCTTCACTGCACCGCAAACGTCTTTGCAATATACTGGGGGAAAGGAGATGTCTTTAACAATTTTTCTTGGAAATCTATGACATCTCAATTGGCCATGTGATATAAAAAGAAGTAGTCACAATTTTCCATCTGCTACATGTTTCCCCATTTGATAGTTTCTCCATTAAATAATGTGCTGCAGTATTCAATATTGTCCCCAACTAAGATTATTCTCAGTGGAAGAACTTCATTAAATGCAAAATATTGCCCTAAAGTGCTTGAACACAACTCATTATATGATGAAGGGCTTACCTGTACCTTTCAGGGAGCGTATTGAACAAGTTAAGAAAACCTAAACCTTTCCTATAGATCCTATAGCTAATTCCCAGGTCCTTGCTAAATTTGACAATAATATAATTAACTGAAAGCCTAACATTAGTAAAGCAGAGAGGAAAGATGAAATGAAAGAAACTAATCATTAACTGGAATAGTCCACTCCCACAGACCACGTGGGCCAACGACCATTGAGAGTTCCCCCAAGTCCAAAGCCAAGTAACAAGAACTGACACGAATTATTGACAGTAGCCATCGGCATAAGGGAAGAGGGCTGCAATGGGCACATTTGGTTGTCAGGTGCCATGACATAGAACTGGAAGCAGAATTTCCTGAGAACAAATTACTTATTTGAGAAATATGGATACTCTATAAATTCTGAGACCTCCACATTTTTATGTGGAGGATTCCAGAATTCCAAACCTCTGTTTCACGACAAAGGGTAATAAGATCGGATGTATTCAGAATGAGATAGTCAAGGAATGACCCCTGGTTTCCATTATTTTGTGGTGTAGAACATTTCTAGGAAGACACAGAAAATCTCAAATTCACTCTTAATTGGTAAGTACTATAAAGATAAAAATTGATTCCTACTTTTTAGTGTTTTATACATTTTTAATTAACCATTTTCAATTCCACTTTTAAGGTTTTTGACTACTACATAGTGACTTTTAAGTCAATTGGTTTTAGTTCATTCATAAAAGCAAGCAAGCAAGTGAAAGCTAGTCACTAAATATTTCAAGAGGCAGCACTTAAATGTTCAGATGCCAAATGCATCCTCTCTGAAATTCACATCGAAAAAATGCCACTTAACGTCTCGGTTCGCTTGAAAGGGAGTTCACATAAAGGGTAAGGCCGCCAACCCACTGTTTTATGTCCCAGTTCTTTCTTGGGAAGTACAATGACAAATGGCAAAAACGCGTCTTCCCTTCCTGTTTGTCAGAAGAAGGGGTAGCCATCAGTACATCTGGAAAGTATACTAGGTGGTTGTCCAAACACATCCTTGGGATGTAGGAACACAAGGCAAAAGAAGAGTGCTGCCCAGGTGTTTACGCTGCCCGTGGCAACCTCCGCAGCATGTGGCCTGTGTGTTTAGGTTGCCTTCCCAGGGAGGAATGGTCATGTCCAGGGCAAATGGAGTTAATGTAGCCAAATCAATACGAACAGTGATGGTTTTGTGTTTTTTTTCTTCTAACAGCATATGATTGTGCAATCATTAAGTTATAGGAGAAAAGGGGCTAATTTTAGATTTGTTCCTAGCCCTCTCCATGCGAATGGTGTCGCTGTGAGCCCAGCAATGAAGTGCACTGTGTTGTAGCAGACTGCGCAGCTCCCGAGTGTGTCAACCCAGTCTATGAACCAGAGCAATGTTGTCCTGTCTGCAAAAATGGTAAGACCATATTGCATTAGCTTTCAAAGAGGGGTTAGGGCAAAATACAAAACATACACCACTCAATGCAAGAACCCTCTAAGATCTGCCTCTGGCTTTTGAATATGGGCCTGGCCAATTCCTGTATTTCTCCCACCCTGACGTGAAAAATAAACCCAATAATGGGTGAATGTCCATTTGGGGATTTCTAGCTCTTGTAAACTGACATTGTTCGGACCCCTATTATTCATTGCTGATTTATAAGGAAGATATTGGAAAGACAATGGTACCATCGTTTTTTGTAGTGATTACATTCTCCCCTTCTCATAGTAGTTGATGAGGCAGCACCTCATTTCACAGTGCATAACCCAGGGTAGAGAGTGGGTTGAATGCCAGGTAGTCCACTTTGGGAGTAGACAGGATGCTAGGTTTATAGCTGAGTCATTAAAGAAGTGCAAGATTCAACTATGAATGCCCTTAAATTATGTAGAAAGATTAGAACATTTAAGGCTTTTGTACTAGACTTTTATTGTAGCAGCTCAATAATTGCTAGAGGGAGGAATCTGGCTTATACAGTGATGTTTCTTTTCCTAAACCTCATGCAATGGGGAGTCTGAAATTGCTACAGACCCTAAATACTCAGTATCATGGTGATGTTACATAAAAGTCACTATAATCCATGAGCCCCAGATAGCATACCAGCTGTGTTAGGCCAGGTTGACTAGAGAAACAAATCCAGAGACAACCATATGTATAAGAAAGAGTTTTATATCAAGAAATAATCATGCATCAATAAAACATCCCAACCCAGTCCGACTCAAGTCCATGAGTTCAATATTAGTCATAAGTCTGACACTAGTCCATAAATCTCTCTTCAGACTCACACAGCCACATGCAATGATGCAGAATGCAGGAAGACCACAGGGCAGTGTGTGCAAAGTCTTGTGGATCCAATGGTAGGGGAAGCATCACAGGGCACTTGGAGGTCTCAGTGTGGCTTATCCATAGGAAGGTGAAGGCGGAGAGAGAATGGCCTACCTACAGAGAGTCATTTATTTCTATGGCACCTCCAAATGAGGCCATCAAGCTGTGACCTAATTGACAGCTTAAGCTGTACCCTTATCTTCTTAGATTGGCACAAAAAAAAACAACTATCACAACAGCAGAGCCAGCAGTACACACAATATAGTGGCAATATTCAAATGAGGGCAAAAGTGGGGAAGCTTCAGTAGGGAATACTCCATAAATGCTCACACTTGGAGCTATTAGCGACTTGAAAACATGGTTTTAGTTCTTACTCAACTCAGTTCTAATGCTGAATCCCAAACCCCTTTCTTGAAATAGCAGTGCTCATTTCCCACATTTTGCTCTGAATGGGTCATTTTGTTAGCTCACCTACTATATCATCCTTGGTGGATGGTGGATTAGTAGAAGGAGGTATCAGAATACGTAGATAAAGGTAAAACAAAAACAGTGCTGCATGTGTTTGTAATAGTTGGGGAATTTTGTTATCTTCCTCCTGAAGGACTCATGAAGAACTCTGATGGCATCTTTCCTGGCACACGTTTTTATTATTTATAGTCTTATAAATCCATTGAGTTGAATATTAAATTGTTCATCTGGCTTCCATTTCTTTCCATCACCACTTTCCCCTCTAGCTTAACTGACTTTCTCTGTCAATGTGAACATTATTCTGATTAAAGGCGGGAATAAATATTCTTCTGTAGTTTTAATCCATCTATTATATGCAAAGCTATCAAATGTGAGACTTGAAATGTTTTCAAAAATTGTAAGAAGTTGGAAAAGATACAAGGAAGAACAAAAAAGATATTTGGATGGTTGAGAAATGGGGCCTACAAGGACAGAGTAAAGGAGTGAGCATAGTTTGTCCTGGAGAAGACAAGGCTCAGGGGAGTCCTAAGAGTCACAAAGTATATGGATGGTTAGTCTAGAGTAGAGAAGAATCTATTATTTTTCATTTTCTCCAAGGACAGAAGGAGGGGAAAAACCAGCCACCCAGTCAATCTTTGAAAGAAGGATCAACCAACGTTTGAGTGAATACTTTTTTTATCTTCCAAGAAGCACCTGTCTAAAAGGGTCCTTGAGATGGCTTTTTTAGGGCACTTGCTAGCCTTGTCTCAAACTTAGGGTAAGCACAAATGTGTTTGTGGTTAAAAATCTTGCCAAGATGAGTCTGGCCCAACTCGATGACAGTGAGTTTGAGTGTGTTGAAGACCATAATTTTAGAGTCTAGGTTTTACACATGCATCTTCCACATCGACCAAGGCATCACCAAAGTGTTGAGTATACGGAGTCTGAGTCAAAAATTTAGCCAGTCACTACAGACTAGTCACATTCAGCAGGATGTCACCCAGGAGGACCTTATTCATTTGTATCAAGTGCCAACATAGAAATGTGTCTTCTAATGAAACCCACTTTGTACAAATATTTCTAACAAATGGGTCTTCATTGTTCATAATAGGATTGTGATCCCTGCTGAACATATGTTGAATATTTAAGGTTTATGAATTGTCCAATTTTTTCATCTATGAAGTATCACATGAAGATACTCTGTTCCCTCTTGCTACTTCAAAAAGAAAGTATATTTTTATATTTTAGTAAGTGAAATGACCTGACTTAGAACCAGAGAAAATATCAACTCTAATTCGGACATGAACATTATGAGATGTTATCTTCTTTTATTGAAATACCTTTTTTTGCCCCAAAAGTAAAGAACAATCTTACCAAAATAACATAGCAAGAATCAACACAGTTATATGAATGTCTTGACTACAAACAGACTGAGCCCCTGGGGTTGCTTGCTTCCATTCTAAGCCAGACACAGACACCAGGAGACCAAACTTGACCTACTTGTAGAACTTGGGGGGAGGGGGATATCAATTTTGACAGAGTGTATTTTAAATTTATAACATGTGAGAGGCTCTTATTCTAAATGAGAAGATTGATTTGCCCATTGTGAAGTTCTAGAGAATGTTACTATTATCTTAGATTAAGATAAAATTGAAAAGATAAAAACTAGCTTATGGATTTAAGGTATGGGTAATAGATTTTAATTGTTCATTGTCATCACATTTGCTGAAATCATCATAAATATTGATTACTTGGGCAAGCAAATAATTTCCCAATTTCATTAATTTTTATCATCTTGGCCAACAAATAATTTCCTTTTACATACTAAGATTGATTTTTCTGCCTTCCTGAATTATAGCTTTCTAAGAGCAAGAAGCACTGAACATTTTAAGTGAAAGTATAATGCTATAGAATCTGCTACATCTAGCCTTAAGACTCAGGGTTCAATTAGTATTAAATTCTTTATTCTGAGATTATTTAAATGTGAACAAAACAAGGAAGCAAAAATACAGGAGCATATGTAGTTTTCCCAGAAATCAGTAGTTTTTATTCTTAAAAAAAAATCACATTTTTTAAGAATATGAAGTACAAGGTAATTTTTCCTTGATAGAATAATTACAGCCTCTCTTTATTCTTAAAAAATATAATTTACGACAATAAATTTAAAGACATTATGTTGCTAGGAGTTTTCTCTTATAATGTAAAAAAAAAGAGAATTTAAAATGTCTGAGTCTCAACGATTATCTCAAGAAGATTTGTAATAGTTATCAATAAATATAGACAAGTCAACCATAAAATGTGCTCTATTCTTATTAAATGCAGTTGGGCCCCAAGAGGGTCAATTAGTCTGGATAAAGTAACAATATTGTGTAAAGAGGTTCATGGCTGTGCAGAGTCTATATGACATACAAATCCAAAGAAGATAGGGTAACATTTCTTTGGTGAGTATTGGAGGAATTGACACAAGAATTTATTTTCTTTAAAAACGAGTAAATATTTACTACTCACTCTATACAACTACGAGGTCTAGTAATCCAGATACCTTCCTGGAAAACAGTATTTCTAGGCTCTTTTCTTTCCCAACGATTGTGTTATGTTAGTCTATCTTTCAGCCAATGGCGCTTCATGTGGATTAATAAACAGTCTTACGGTTTTTGTTTGTTTTTGGTTTCATGTTTTTGTTTTGTAATTAAAAAATAAGTTAGCACAGTATCTGATTAAGGAAATCATTCCAAGAGGGGTGTTATATCAGTAACACAACTATTTGGAAACTGGCTATATGATCAACTGATAGAAATTGGTTATATCACACATTAAGCTGCCAACTTGCAGGACAGCGTTTGAATCCATCAGTCACTCCACAGGAGAAAGAAGAGAACTTCTGGCCCATCAAGATTGACAACCGTGGAAACCCAAAGGAGCAGTTCTAATCTGTCCTCTAGGGTCTCTGTGAATCAGAAGCAACTGAATACACTGCAGATACACATACACACACGTGTATGTGTACATATATGTGTGTGTCTGTATACATACACTCATACATTATGTATCATGCTATATACCACGTAGTTCTAATTCTTGCTCTGTCACCACGCATTCTACTTCCCAGCCAGTTCTTTATGTTGATAGGAGCCCTCACGGCACAGTGGTTAGGCCTGGGCTGCTAATCAAAGGTGAGCAGTTTGATCCCACCAGCTGCTCTGTGGGAGAAAGATGGGCCTGCTTACGGTCATAAAGAGGTGCCATCTCAGAAACTTCCAGGAGCAGCTCTATCCTGCCCTAGAGGGTCTCTATGAGTTGGCACAGACTCAATGGCGGTGAGTTTGGTTTGGATTTACATATGTTAATTTTTCTATCCCAAGTCATTAAAAATCGATGTATATGCAATTCCAATTATCTAAATTAAAAATAAAACAAGGGGTGGCCATTAAATGTTTGAGTATTTGAGCATTAAAAAGTCTAGCATGCCATCACCTGGTTAGTCTTGTTTTCCCTATAACATACAGAAAGTCACTTTTATTGTTCTGAGAAAAAGTCACTTAATTATCATAAAAAAGGGAGTACCCACAAAACCCCCCTCCAGAGCATTTTACTGCTGAGTCATTCTGTCCTTTCTAACTAAAGTTTCTAACAAGCTACTTTCTATCCAA